AAAAAATATGGATGTCTCCGAAGTAATAAAAGAGTATTTTCGCACAAATAATATCAGCTCTATTTCTTTACAAAACAACGACCAAACTTTAATAATTCAGTACAACTATCTCCTTATTAATAAGAAAAAAAAATAACAATTCTATGGACCAAACCCGCAATAATTTTCCTATTTTTAAAAAGCAAAAAAAATTAATTTATTTAGACAGTGCTGCTACTAGTTTAAAGCCAAAAACAGTAATTAAAGCCATTAACGACTATAATCAAAATTATTCCATTAATTCGCACAGCGAAAACAGCAGCCCTTTGTTTAAAAAAGTATGAAAAACTATTCAAAAAACCCGAGAAATAATTGCACGAAAAATCAAGAGCAGAGAAGAAGAAATTGTTTTTTTGCCTTCTACCACTTATGCTCTTAATATTTTAGCCTTATCTTTGAAATGTAATTTACAAGCCGGAGACCGAATTTGTTTGACTCATCTCGAACATAGTGCTAACCTTCACCCTTGGCAAGCCCTCGCCCAAAAGGAAGGAGTTATTGTTGATTATTTGCCTTTGAATAAGGAATTTACAATTGATATTGATAAGTTAAATAAACATATTAATAAGCAAACTAAAATCGTTAGTTTCGTTCAAGTCAGCAATAGTTTAGGAGTAATTAATCCTGTAATGGAAATTACTAAAAAAATTAAAGAAATTAATCCTAAATGTTTAGTGATTATAGATGCTTGTCAGAGTATTATCCATGTTCCTATTGAAGTAGAAAAATGAAACATCGACGCTTTGGTTTTATCGGGTCATAAAGTATATGGACCAACCGGCATTGGAGTTTTGTGAATAAAAAAAGAATTAGGAGAAAAATTGCCCCATTTATTATGAGGGAGTGGAAAAAAAATTGGACCAGCAGAAAAAGATGTTGAATTAAACTTGCCTCTCTCCCAAAAATTTGAAGTAGGAACTTTACCCTTGGCGGAAATCTTTGGTTTAAAAGCCGCATTTGAATTTTTAGATAATTTTACCGCCTCCGAAATTTATGAATACGAAAATAATCTGCGTCACTATACACTCCAAAAGTTAAAAACAATAAAAAACCTAGTTATTTATAACCAAAACTTAGTATCAGCTAATATTATTACCTTTAATTTACCGCCTTATCACGCTCATGATATTGCTGATTATTTGGGAAAAAACAATATTTATGTGCGAGCCGGAAACTTTTGTTGTCCTTATTTAGATAAGTTAATTGGTACTAATTCGGCTTTACGGATTTCTTTTGGAATATATAATGATTACAATGATATTGATAAGTTAATTTTTCACTTACAAAAAATTATTCAAAATCCACAAGTTTTATTGCCTTTTTAATGGCCTTGAAGAAGACTACTAAAATTTTGTTAATGATAGGTAAAGAAGAATTCAAAACATTTTTGATTTTATTAGCGACTTCTTTGCTTTCATTTGCTACTTTTTTGTTGTTACGAAAATGAGGAAAAAAGAAAAAGGACGATTATATTATTCATCAATCAAGAAGAGCTCTGATTGTTTTTATTTTTTCTTTTCTTTTATTATGTTTTTATACTATTTATGTTTTATTTTTGTTGTTTCAATTTATTATCTTAACAAGTTTTTTTTAGTCCCTATTTACTAGTTGTTTATTGCTAGTTTTTGTATTTTTTAGTTTTTTATTTCGTTATTTTTATGTATTTTCTTTTAAGTTTTTTTGTCGCGACAGTTATGTTTGAATAAAGTTTTTTGATAAACCAAAGAAACATTTACTTAATAAACATGGTGGAGATGAGGAGATTGAACTCCTGTCCTTAAATTAGCTATAATTACTTCTACAACTTAGTCCATTGTTATTTCTAACTAGTTGTCAATGAACGAACAATTTCTAGTTAAGAGTTTATTTTATGTGAAGATATAGTAAGAAATCAGCCAAGGTTAATAAACAAACTCAACTAATTAATTCGCCTTTTTAGGCAAAACTATTCAAAGCGAGTGAATAATTAAGAACCACGCTAAATTCGGGCGTAGTTGAAACTGTAATTGTTATTAGTAAACAAATTTACAGGTAGGTCAGTTTCATTATCGAAACTTTCAGCT